ACTGTATAAGCAGTATTGTGTAATGAACTTGAACCATTGTGTATTTAACTCGAACACTGTATATTTAACTTGAATTTTGCTACAATGGGCTCCACTCTTAACTATGGGTCATCCTTAAACTGGGCGTTCTTAACCTGGGGACTACCTGTACATCATGTCTTAAGATCATCCATTTCTTAAAAGAGAAATACAGGAATTAAGTAATGTATTTATAACATTCTGCACAAGCCTAAGAGAAAGAAAAAAGAATACATTCAGAATCTTAGGTTTCAAATATTACAGTATAGTTCTAAAGATAAGAGACAGATCATTTCAAAGTAGTTTATGTCTCATAAATAGTATCCAAATCTATAAATGTCATATTAATTAGTTGATTAATTTATGTGAATGATACTATGGTAATAAAAGAACTTTCCAAATAAAAGATGCATAATTACCGAACTATTTCACAAGATGCTTTAAATTACACCTTAACATTTCTAGTAAGCTTTTGATAGAATAAATGCAATTGTTGCTTTAGAAAGCATGATGTCTATTATTTAGAGGAAAGTTACAAGGATCAGAGCCAAAGATACATCCCTGAACATTTTCCACAGGTATTTTTCTACTTCTAATAAAGCATTGTTCCATAAAATTACTAAGTACAATATATGTCAAATAAGTAACTGGCACGAACACAATACAAGTCAAATCTAAATACTGTAATTTCTTTTTTCAAGTTAAGAGTTCTTAGGAAGCACATGCGGTAATACCTCTTCAAGCCAAAAATAATTCACAGGGGTATGCAGAGATCTGGATTTGAAGGGTAAAATGTGATTCAGAGTGCACATCTATGCACGCATAGCACATGTTGGAAACACCTTGAAGCAACTGCATCTTCTGCCACGCAATCGTGGAAAAAGATTGGAAAAGGTAATATTCAGCTTAAGATGCTCTTGAAGTACGATACTTGCATGCTCCAAATCACATTTTTTCCTTCAAATATGGATCTCTGCACAGCTCTAAACATTGCTATGTATTAAAATTTTAGAATGGAAGGAAAATGTATCTAATTCATGAATAAGCATAATCCAAATAATGCATATTTAAGTGTAATTAAATGTAAACAAACTGAAATTAATTCTTTTACTCTGACTTAACCCACTAATTGGGGGAGAGGGATATGGCCCCCAGAATGCCACTGGAAGTTCCCAAGATGGTGACTGGGGGAGTGGGATTCAAAATGAAATGTTAATGTTGGGCAGTTGGTTTCTGTAGGTGTCTCTTTTGTTTTGGGAGGATTTAGATGGATTTGAGGTGGTCTTGCTTCTTGGACTGCTGGATTGCGCTCCAATTCAGAGTGGACATTCCAAGCAAAACGAAGCAGAGCGAGAATAGGACAGTGCACTGCAGAATAGAGGGAAGGATGATGGTCTTCCAGTGGTGGAGAGACAGGTTATTTGCATAGACATATTGTCTACATCTGGTGCATTTCTACTTGTGTTAGGGAGATGGAGGCACTATCTTGCAGCATTGGCTTACTCAAAGTCCTGCTACTCCAGGCTGAGCAGCTGACCAGAAGCAGTGGCAGGAAGGCTGAAGCTGACCAATACTCTGGGCAACAGAAGGTGGGGTAGGAAGGGATGCATGTCTTGGACTTACTTGAGCCTTGAAGCTTCCAGGAACAGGCCTCCTACATACGAACTATAGTTCTACACAC